AAATTTGATACTCACAGGAGAGATTGAAGGCAAGAAGGACAGAAGAAAAGAACGCATAAAAATGGATGACAGTACAGATAGATAAAAAAAAAAAGACAATTATTAAGAGCTACAAAGGACAGGAAATTATAGAAAGCTATGACTGCTAACATCCTGGACAGACATGGTACATAGAAGAATATAATACATTTCCAAATGTCTATACAGTTAAATAAACAATTGTCTGAAGCATCGGCATGCATATAAATAAAAATAGACTGGTATTCTAAAAATACTGGTATGTTGGTATACATAAAAAGAACAACTTTGTCGCCATATTTATTACGTTTCAGCTGTTGTATGCTCCAGCCTTGTTTAGGTGGTTGGAATGTCAAACTGAACCCTTTATTTCGCTGACTGGAGTAGACTATTCTAGTTCCACATGCCATGTTTAATTGATGTTAGTTATCAGTTATCTCCTGTTAATTCCCTTCTCCAAGTTCTCCACTGCGTTAACCAGGTATTGAACTCACACTGTTTGTGTCTTGTCATTGGATCTAACCAACACCTTTATCCACTGTGTGAGTTCAATACCCAGTTAAGGCAGTGGAGAACTTGGAGAGGGTAATTAACAGGAGATAACTGATAACTGACATCCATTAAACATGGCACGTGGAACTAGAACAGTCTACTCCAGTGTTATAGAGTAGTTTTCACAGTGGAGGCTTGTATTTCACTAAGTCGGTCCTAAAAAGGTTCGACATACAAAATGTTAGGAACTTGTTATAATAGTTAATGACGCAGCAATCTAGTTGTGGTGGTTGATACTTTAATGTCCGATATTGAACTGACTCACCAACTCACTGAGTGACTTCGCGACTGCTACTTCTACTACTTATTATAGGTGGGAGAGTCTATTAACAATAGAATAGGTATGTTCCAGTATTATACCCAGTGAGCAAAATAAAGGGTTCAGTTCAACATTCCAACCACCTGAAGAAGGCCGGAGCGTACAATGGTCGAAATGTTGTAATAAATATGGTGACAAAGATGAGGACAATAGTCCAAATAATGTAAATAGAGTTCTCCCCACATATTTACTTTTGCCACAAAATTATGAATTTCTATTCAATATGCAGAGAAATATAAAACTAAATTTAATTTCCGTCATTTAGAAAGATAGAATTGAACCTGTAGAAGATAAAATTAATTCAGTGTGGCATGGATTTTTTTTTTGTCTACCAGAGAAAAAAATTAGTGAACATCCTTGTATATCAAAACATGGAATCACCTGTGTTACAAGGGTTGTTTGGAATGGGTTAATCTGATAGTAAATTTACAAGTTAGCTATTGAAATTTGAGAAGAAAGGGATTGTCAGTGGCCAGGAATTAGTAGAGATCTAATACGTATAATGAAAATGCATTGCTAATAATTTTATTATAAGAAAGCATTTTAAATAACTTTACCACGGTTTTCATTTTGTTTGCTATATGGAATGTACACTTTAAGAAGGCTGTAGAATGGTCCAGCCAAAACATTGAAGTAAAAAAAAAAAAAAAAAAATAATAAAAAGGAAAAAATAAAAATAAGAGTTCATTAATTTGAACAAGTCTTGGAATGATTATGACTTTTTAAAAAATTAATTGAAAGTAAAAAGATATTTTTACATTAACTGGTAGTTTTTGATTCAGACACATGTTAGACTATTTCAATGTCTCTTACAGGGCCAGTGCATAGTACAACCGAACCTGGCAACTGGTGGAAAGGGGTATGCTTGACAGGGGTTCAGGCAGTAATTTGGGACCCTTGCTATCTTACCAATATTTGCCTTTTTTCTACCTAGATTTATATAGGTTATAAATTAAACTAAGCACAACTGACCATTAAACGACGAAAAATTTTTTTTTCAGAATTGACGTCATTCTGGGGTCTTTTTCTTTTTTTTTCATCCAAATCTTTGAATTCATTTTGCTCATACTTAATCTCGAAAAAATCACGATATAAAATTCACTATATTTATCCGTAATGTTGAATGTGTTAAAATCATTTAACTTTTTAACAAGAAAAATCTCGAGTTGATGTTGAAATTTGCCATAAAATATTGATTTATTTAAGACAAAATAATCTATTATGTCATGCGCCTAATTTGTATTTTAGATACATGGTATTTTTTCTAGTTGAATTTCTCACCTGTATTGCATATGATCCTATATCATAGATTCAGGGGAGGGTGGTAGGGGGATGCACACCTGTAACCCATGTGTACTGGTCTTGGTCTCTTATTTGATTGCTTGATTATAGTTTTATCTGAAGATGCTTTATTTAGATTACCATTTAAAAATACCCGAGATGCTGTATATTAAATTTAAGCAAACTTCCTTCTGTATGCAGACAGAACATTTGCTGGGGTTTATAATGTAATCTGTTTTTGTCAATCATAGTGTTGATTCCCTAGCAATGATTTTCCCCTAAATTTAGTCATTTTGCACAAATTTGTTTTGTCCTCAATTGAGCTCTGAAGAGCGAGGAACAGTAACAGGCTAGCTTTTGTATTTTTCAAAACTTTTTTTTCGATTTACAATTTTCTGGTTTTCTTACTCTTCCTCCCGCATGTTTTAGTATATTTTTTTATATGTTAATGTATTTTTTTTTTAAAATGTCCATCTTTAAAGCCATCATAAAATTTTTCATCTGCTATAAATTATTTATGCTTTTTAGTGGAATAATTACCATTGTTAAGTGAGGGTCGATTGGAGTAAGATTTTGTAGTAAAGAGAAAAATATTTTTGTAATAAAATCAATTATCCTTAACTCGATTTTCTGGACTTCAGTTATCCAGATGTGAAATGAAGAGGAAAATTGAAATCATCCGAACATTTTTCAATTGCCTGAACTAAACCCATTCTAACGTTACATCTCAGACAAGCATTTTGAGAATTTAGAAAACTATATTTAAGTTTGATAAAAATGCTGATAAAAATCAGTTTAATTAATTCTTGTTAATTTCCACTTTGTTTTCCTATGAAAGGCATATAAATGATAATATAAGCAGTTTCCTTATAAGGAAACAGTCAGCATTCATTTGACAAATGTAGCCAGTGCTACATTTTTGGCTAAAATTTCTAAAATGTTTCTCTTAAAACAATTTTTCAGGAAAATAGGTTTCTCATGTCTAGTAACTGTTATTACTCTTTCTAAGATTGATAAGGTTTCCTTCCTAACCTTTTGTCTGAAGTAGTGTGGAATGTCAACATCTTATTTTTATCATTATTTTCTTTTTGAGTGACATATATAATCTATGTTAGTTGTTGCTGATGTTGAAGCCTTCAAGTGACATGGTTTCTGTCATAATTGAATCTAATTTCGGGATTTAGTTGCAGAAAAATGCAAGGCCGGCTTTATCTTCAATTGGACAAAACCTTAATTAAAGATTCAATTCTCTGAACATATTTATTCAACCCTCGCCTCAAGGTGTCTGGATAATCGAAAAAGTACTATAGTAATCCTAAAATTGATACTGGTTGTGGAAAGAGGGGAAATAAGCAGTTACCGAGGAACGATCTATTACAACAACTGCAGAAAAAGAGAAAAATATGTGTGGCACTATTGGGAAGTGACTGAAAAACTATATCATTGGCCAACCCAAATCTTGTTAGTAAATATAGGTAGATAAAACTGTTTTGGAATTTGCTAATGGTTGTGCTTGGACAAAGTTACAAGTCATTGTGACCGAGGCCTTGAATGTACTGGCATTGTTCAAAACTGTCAATTATGCCAAATTATATGTTCTCTCCTCAAGATTGAAACTAAGGTTCATTCAGTATAGTTTCTGTATAAACTACAGGTTGGTGTTGGCAGGTTTTTCTAGAGTGTAACAGATAAAAGGAAAACCAGAGCTGTCATCTTCCTAAGTGTCAAAGACAACCCAAAGAAACAAATAATAGACTTGATGATTTGTATTCTTCAAAGAAGAAACTGATTTAGCCGAAGTGATTTTACTTATATCCAATCTGAAAATTTCAGCAAAATACTAATTCTATAGATACTAAGGTGAAAGGGGGTAGGGGAGAGAAAAAAAAAACTAATTTGAAAATATCAAAAATAAAAAAAGAATTTTCAAAACTGAGTAAAAAGCGATAAAAAATTGCAACATCTACAAAAAATTGTTAGACCTTTTCTACAGAAAGTTAATTGAATTCAGAAAGATGTTAGTGCTGTTAGGAGTTTCAGTAATAACAAAAAAATTACTTGAAAAAAATATTTAAGATAAAAAAAACCCCACAAAATAGATATCAAGTGAAATAGCATTTAATTAGTGATAATTATACCTCTGTCCCAAAACAGTTGTTACATTTAGCATCTGAAATATACATGCAAATGTACCAACTATTATGGGACAAATATAGAAAAAATATTACTGCTAACCCATAGTAGCTATACATTTAGCATTTGAACTACACATGCAAATGTACCAATGGGGGTGGAGTCTGGTAGGAATATCCTTAATAATATTCAAAAACTTGAATTCTTATATATTATGTCAGGAGGTCAGCTGGTACCAAAATCCAAAATGTTGTGAGGTTCAGGACTCTGGTGATGTCTATTCATACTTTGAAATTATTTTGGTATGTGTGTACTAAAATATCCAAATTTTCCAAATTTTTAATTTCTGTTGTTTATCAATCTGAGTAAAGGAAATAAAAATCTAAACAATCAAGTGTACTACTAGATTGGCAACTAGATCTTACCATTTTGTTGTTGAACTAGCTAAATGCAATTGTCTGTTCTATTCTAATGGTTTCTTTTCTTGCACTTCTTGCCCGTGGAACTCCCGATTTATTGCTTTCGAGCTACCTACAATATTTAAGAAAACTTAATGCAACTTCAGTTGCCATCTTCTGTCTTTCTGAATCCTGTTCTTTTATTGTCCTACTTTCCCAGTAAAACCTTCTCATTCTCTTTCATTCCATGTAACCTTCTGTATCCTAGTAGCATTATTAACTTGCTTGGGGTAAAATGATTATAGAAAGAAAGAAGAAAGAAAGAAAGAAGAAAGAAAGAAAGAAGAAAGAAAGAAGAAAGAAAGAAAGAAGAAAGAAAGAAAGAAAAAAGAAAGAAAATAGAAGGAAAGAAAATAGAAGGAAAGAAAGAAAATAGAAAGAAAGAAAATAGAAAGAAAGAAAGAAGAAAGAAAATAGAAAGAAAGAAAGAAGAAAGAAAATAGAAAGAAAGAAAGAAGAAAGAAAATAGAAAGAAAGAAAGAAGAAAGAAAAAGATAAAAGAAGTAAAAAATTTTCCTATGTAGGCAAAACTGGGGGAAAAAAAAAAGTGACACCCTAACAAGCACCAAACCTTGAGAAGCACAATCATATATTTTAAGCAGTTTCAAGAACTGTTCTAACTACAACCATATGCACACCTATATTTGCATTTCTAGAAACAGCCTGAAATATTTACTAAAAATTGTGACAATTCATCTTGGGCTTAAAGAATATGGCATATGTTGGCAGCATTTTGGACAGAGGCAAATAGTGAGTGACCTATCTAAGGTGCTTATGTAATTGAACTGGAAGAGATAATAAGGAAATAAACACGAGGAAATTGTGGAGAGCCATAATCTTCCATATCCTGAAAGGGCGTAGCACAAATATCAAACTATTAAACTCAAACTGTTGCCATTCCTGAGTGGACCCTGAATTTTTGCCAATCATGATGAATGGGTGTTCTTTCAGGGAAGCGTCATGCCATGAACACCTAATAGGACTTAAGCTTGGCCCAAACCTCTAGTGGAACTCGTACATATGATACGCCACTAAAGATGCTGAAAAAAGTGATCGGTCCCCTGTACTGCTCCAGTAAGAATCTGACTCCTCTTGTTATCGTCTGCCTTTATAAGAGCTAGATCTGGCTGAAAATTGTGTACTGCTGCAATATCTGGGCAGAAGCTGTCTAGTTTTCACTTTCCAGTCCAAAAGCATTTATGCAGACTTGTAGGTGATGAATTATTTTCCACCTTACAACCATTTTCCACATAGACAAAACATTGGAAAACTCTTGCTACTCTATCACTTTACATGGAAAGTGTTCAGGATTCCTTAGTTCTATCAGTTTTAACCTTCTAAGACATGCCACACAACATTGTAGTGAATCATCTTCATTCCTTTTGTGAGGTGTAAGTTCCACTTGAACACCTTCATCGCACAAACCACTACATTGTGGATAGGACTCCCAAGAGGATGGTTCTCTGATCACTACAATCTTACCTTGTTCAAGTCTAGAGTTAACTGTTATATTTCACATATATGCTCATAAACTGTGTCCCTTTGTTTTTAATCATTTCACCCCAACAAAGGCGGTAAAGCCATTAAGACACAAGGAATTACAGAGTGTTAAAGAATGAGAAAAAAAAGAAACATTAAAGAGGGAGAAAAATCAAAGAAGAGGAAAATCAAGAAGACAGTAGTTAGTCTTACTCTATGAGCCTCTAACCTGAATGATTTCAAGGCCTTGTATAGGGTAAGGTGAACAAAAGAAAATTACACAATCTTAAATTTCAGAACCCAACTAATACCACTCCCTAGCAAGGTGACCCCGGTACCTTACTTGGTTCCCCACCCATAGGAATGAGGTCATTTACTTAAAAGTTTATCCCAAGTACACCAGTTGCATGATTCATCCCCATGACACAAGCATATGGGACAGGAGAATACAAAAAAAAAAAAAAAAAAAAACATGTGTGGTGTTTTACTAAAATAGCCCTTAAATATTTTAGCACGTGTATGAAAATATTAAATTTCCAGACAGGGTTGGGGTATCTTAAAATTTCTTTGAAAGTATGATGACATTCATGACCTCTTGGATTTTGGTACTTGCTCCCTCCTGATTATGTATTTGTAAACAATTACTTCTGTCCCATAATCATTGTTACATTTTAATATATAAACTGTATATATAAATGTGACAACTATTATGGGACACATGTAGTAATTCTCTTTTAGATTTGAACATCAATATACCAAATAATTTGACAAATTAGTAAGTGTCATAATAAAAATTCTTTAAAGTTTTTTTTTTTTTCAAAATTTATTTCACTACTGATATGTCTGCTGGTTTTATTTGAAAGAAAGTATTTCCCCTTGGATATAAAACCGAACAACTTTTTTGTTCAAGGAAGAAAAAAACGGTAGTCGCTCAGCTATACAAAGTTCTGCAATAGTAGTAGTAGTAGTAGTATTAGGCTAAGCTTAAGAAATAAAATAGAATTAAAATATTTCTTAAATCTCCTGAAATGCACCATCTACTCATCATCTCCTTAACACTTTATTAATGTTAACACCAACATTCTTAAGGGCAGGTCAATCAGCTCACTTTGTTTCTCAAAACGGTTAAGTAGAACAAAAGATCAAGGACCCTGGACCAAAGCGAAGGACAATCCTATTCACTATTACCACACTCCCCGACCACTTACCAACCTCAATATAAACCCAGGAAGAGAGGGTTTCATAGTCAGTTCTCT